TGCTACCATATAGAGCCCAGATTTGCCTGAGTGTAAACTCACGGATTGTCAGTGTTTCCTGTTTTTACTTAACAAAGCGGATGGACCTGAGGAAGGAAAATTGGTGCAGGGCCTGGCTGAGATCTAGGGCTCGCCTTAGCTCATAAGGACTGACTAATTTTCTGGAATCTCTCCTTCTCCAGCTTCCCCTTAATCTCCTTGGAGATGGGGGATAGCTTACAGTTGGTATAGTACATGGTCGTGGTGCTGTTCGTGGCCACCTGAACTCCTCGACCTAGTATTAAAGGATAGAAGATGCAAAACGTCTTGATGACTGCCAGCATCTCTAAATGGTTTATATGAAGAAGTGTCTCTGATTTGGACCACAAACCATGAATCCTGTGAGGATCGCAGTGTACACCCCAACCTGTTGGGCTGGCGTCTGTTGTAACCTGGACCACCCGTTGAATAGGCCAGAAGGGGCGACCCACGAGAAGGTGAGGCACGAAAGTCCACCATGTTAGCTGACTCGCAATCTCTGGAGTTACACACAAGTGCTTGCTAGTGCTGTCCATCAAGGATCGAATTGAGACAGGTACCAAGCCTGCAGAGAGTGCATTTTCAATCTCGCGTGTGGAAGAGCAGACATGGTTGAAGCCATGACATCTAGAAGCTACTGGGTGGTGGTGGGCAGAGACTTTGGCACAGGGATGGAAAAGTAGGATCTCTCAGTGCAATTTTAGAATTTGTTCGGGTGGAAGGAAGATTCTCTCATTGCCTGAGTCCAGACGCGCACCTATGTAGTCCATGACCTGAGACGGCTGGAGGTGAGATTTCGCAAAATTGACCCTCAGGCCAAGGCCTGCCAGCGTCTGAAGAACAAAGTTGGTATCTTGCAACGCTTTGCGAAAGGAGGCAGCCACGATCAACCAGTCATCTATATATGTGATGTTGTGTAGACGAAGGTAGACTGCCACTGGAGCCATCCATGCATTTCGTGAAAGTTCTTGGGATGGTGGAAAGCCTGAAGCGAAGAGCACAGAATTGATAAGCCATATCCATGAAGTAGAAGTGAAGATATTTGCAGTTACACTAATGGATAGAAATATAAAAATAAGCATCCTGCAGGTCTATAACAATGAACCAATTGTTTTGACAAAGAAGAGGGATGATGGAATCCTGGGCGACCATACGAAAACGCCTTGGATGGAGGAAAGTATCCAGTAGTCTGAGGTCTAGGATCGGCCGGAGACCGCCATCTTTCTTGGGAACCACGAAATAGCGGGAATAGAAACCGTCTGGAACCTCTTGAGGGGGAACGCATTGGATAGCCTGCTTCTGGAGAAGAATAGGTATCTCATCCTCTAGAGCAGGTGCGTAAGTTGTGAGTTTGAGTTGGCCGATAGGAGAGAGATCCGTGAATTCCAGAAGGCAACCAGAACTTATGATGGCAAGCCCCCAAGTGCCTTTGGTGGTGAGAGACCACTTGTCGAAGAAGCGGGCTAGCCGATGGTGGTGAGAAAGGTTGGATGGATAGTCCAGAATAAGACAGTCAAAGGTACTGTTCGGCTTTCTTTGCGGGTTGGCAGAAAGTTTGCCGACGCTGGACAGGAGCCTGTGACCTGAAAGCAGGATTACCAGAAGAAGCCGGAGGAGGGTTGGACCTTTTGTTGGGTATTAAAGGGTTTGCACCACTGATACCTTTAGTATCATGGTTGTTAGACCAAATAAGAACAAGCCATCTTCCTGATTTTATGTAAGTTCTCCATTGCCTCATCTGTCTTTTCATTATCCAGATAACACTTAATTTTTCTTTATCTATCCTCTGTCATTTGCCATCTTGAAGAATTCGCTTATAGATTATTGTTCATTGATTATTGTCTTTTGTTGGATACTTTTATTTTGCTATATGTATATGTTGTTGTATTTCATTTGTCTGGAAGCCGCCTAGAGTGGTCGTGCTGACCAGATAGGTGGGGTACAAATAAACGAAACGAAACGAAACGAAATGAAACGAAACGAAAGCAGTGTCATTTCTGTGCATTCTATAGTGGTTTTCAACATGTCTAGGAATCTGCAGGGACGTGGATGGTTGACTCCACGATTTCTTAATGATATCCAACATTGCTGGAATGAATGCCAAACCTAATGGTGGGGATTTATCTTGATTAATGTCATCGAAGACGAGATCTTGTTTGGGAGGAGGTGGTTGCTCTATGTCCAGCTCAAGAGATTTAGCCATGCAAAGAATCATCTGAGAACAGGAGAGGTCGACTACATCTGAATCGGATGTAGGTAGGTTTGACAGAAATTCCTCTGAAGCCTCTGAGGGTAAGTTGTGCTCCGAAACTGACAATACAGAAGAATCCCTCAAAACAGAAAGAGGAGGAGAAGATGATAGATGGTGACTTCTCAATGCTTGGCCTGAGGCTCGAAGAGATGATGCCGAAGCACCGAAGCAGATGATGGATCTATGAGAATGTCGCCTGATCAAGCTTGTTGAGAGACAGAGGAGGTTGGTATCGGAGGAGCATGGGATCTCTTCAACGTGTGGGCTACTTGCTGAGAAACATCCTTGTGTGAAGAGTGATGCTTAATAGCCAGCTTCAATGACGGACTCGAGCTGATAAAAACCTCTGTGCTGACGTCGAGGGAGAGAGGGCGACGGGGAGGAAGAGGTGGCACAGACGTACCGCACTCTTTTGGTCCTTACATAGTCTCCGGTATCATAATAAGGATCGATGTTGAAGTCATCATCACGGCATCGGCATCACTCACCCCTTCGATCGACCTCCACATATAAAGCTCCTCATATTCCGAAAAAACTCAACGCCGGGACAGACAAGGAAGAACCACAATGTTGAGGGTACTGTTGGGCTGGAGAAATGTGCCGACATTTGGCTGTTCGCTTCCATGGAGGAGACATGTTGTGGTGACACCTCTGAATTCGATAGATAAATTCCTGTTGCCCTCCCGATAGACATAGGGCTCAAAATGGGCCAAGGCGGGGCTGGAGATGGCATCAGCCTTAAAATGGCCTTGGCTCGGAGACTGGGTTGATATTGAAACCGAAGCCTGAGCCTGTGGAGGTGGCACAGAACCGATCCCTTCCGAGAGGGAGTCCGGGCATGGCAGGTCTTGAGGTGATGGACCTGAAGTAGGAATTGGAGGAATTTCTCACAGTGGAGCAGATATGGAAGAATGCTTATCCTTCTTCTGTTTACTGACTATTTTCTTTTTCTCATGACCCTCTCCATATGGTGATTTCGACATTGAAGTCGACATTGAAGCCTTCTTCGATGTCGATGCTGAAGACTTTTGCTTAGAAGACTTAGACGATGACCTTGGGGATGGAGTAGCTGGGACTGAAGATGCAGCGGGCTCAGGAAGGGGAGTAGGAGGCGGAACCGAGGCCGACTCCATGGCTGCCGGGCTTGACAGAGAAAGTGATTTTTCCCAGAGGTATGATCAAAGCCTTTGCAAGTGAAGCTTAAGGGCCGGTTTGGTCGACTTCTTGCACTCTTGACAAGAGTGAGTTTGGTGCCTCTCCCCCAAACAAAATAAACAGCGGTCATGGCCATCTATAAAGGGGATCTTGTTGGCTCACAATGTACACCACTTAAATGGGCCTGAGGAGGCCGTAAAATTCTCGAAACCCGGGTAAAGGTAAAAAGGGGAAAAGGAAGGAAGACTCACGGGGAAACGTTAACAATTCACCGATATCCAAGCCGAAAATCAGAATCCAAATAATCACAATCAACTTCGTACTCCAAAAACGATAATCAATAATCAGTCCAGAGATCAAAAACCAAGGTAAACAACGTACGAACCAGAATCCAATAATCGTACATTGTAGCCAGTCCAAGATCAAAATTTTCCAGAGATACAGAGGATAATCAATAAGCTAGACCAGAAACAATACCAGGTGGTGGTGGTGGTGGGGGAAAGCAGCTCTAGTACGAAGAAGTCCATTCGCAACAGTGACAAAAAGGAACTGAGGTATTATGGGTAGGCGGAGCATGTGCACCATGGGGAAATATACTATTAATCATATGTTTTAAGCTCTAGAACAGTGGTGTCGAAATGTGGCCCTCCAGATGTTCTTGGACTTCAACTCCCAGAAGCCTTCATCACCACCTCTGCTGGCCAGGATTTCTGGGAGTTGAAGGCCAAGAACATCTAGAGGGCCACAGTTCGACACCACTGCTCTAGAATATTCCGAGGAGTCCTGCGCAGGCGTAGTCTTAACCCAGTTGTGTGCATTCACAGAGGCCACGAAGAAGAACTTTTGAGATTTCTGGATCCAAACTGATAGACACCTTGAACATAACACGCCAGACACCGTAGTAATAAAATGAAGAAATGTCTGGACATGCCAGAGCTGAAAAAAGGGGAATTGGAAAAACTAACAAAATACAGAGATCTACCAATTGAAACCTCTTGCTTGTAGATTGAAAAACACACTTCAGTGATTCCCATCGTCATCAGGATTTGGGGAACAATATCAAGAAAATTCCCACAGTTTACAAGCAGTTGCAGATCTCAGAAATAACACTATCAGAGCTACAGAAAAACGGCAGTATTAGATACAGCATTCATACGCGCCGATATTTAACAGATACTTAGGTTTTTGGTCAAAACTTGGATCTGTTACATAATACCAGTCAATGCTTTTATAATTTTCATTGACTGTGCCTGGTGTTTTTGAATAATAATAGGGCTTGTGACACTTTGGTCTGCCCCCAAACACCAGCAATGCCAAGAAATAATATTATCAGTCTATTATTCCAATATATGTGAAACAGTCAATATCTTTATGATTTTGCCTGATTTTGACCGTGGTTCATATTTCTGAATAACAGATGGACAGATCAAAAGAGAGACAAACAAAGATGCAGGAATGCCAGTTTTTACTCTCCAATGACAGAAACAAATCCTGTCCCTTCTGGCTGAAAAGAAATCCTTCTACATTTTGAAAATCCCCTCGATGTTCACAGTGATAACAAAGGAGACTTGCTCACCTTCCAGACGTGAAGGTAAATCCAACAAATGGTAGATGATGGCCAGAAAACGCTGCATGAGATACAGGTGGGAGTGTCTCCTGGAAGTGGGGAAGAGCAGGAAGAACGCATTCATTTGGGTTTGCTTTTCTTCCCATGCCTGGAAAAGGGCCAGAAGCTCGCTCTCCCGGGCCATCTTTTGAGTTACCTTCCCCTACCCTCTTGACCTTCACAGGTGAAGCCAACATTTGTGGGGGAAAAGACAGAACCAATCAGGTGAAAACAAGGCTCTCCCTCATCCTCAACTGTTGATCTTTACTTGTGGCTCACTGGAGCAAGGCAGCAGAAATTCCATGTTTGGCCTCACGGTGAGCTGGGACCTCTTTCAGTATACCTCTCACCCTCACCACATTATGTTGTCAGACACTTTGCATTTTTGACTTTTTTAGTATTGGGGGAGCAGACGTCAGGTCTTGGTTTCTCATGAGCTTTTTTATATTTTTCCAAATCTTGGAGTTCTCGGCAACCTGTTAAGCCTTCCCTGTTGTGCATGTTAAGAGTTTTTACAACCTTGCATGCTATCTGTAGTTCGTTTGTCTGGAAGAGACTTCTCTAGGCTGGGGTGTCTGTCAATCTATCCAGCACTAACCAATCGTATCTTCCCGCCTCTAAATTCAAGAAGAACCCCAGGTCTCTGCTGAGTGTTCCTTTCCCTCTCTTTAGTCTGTTGTATGTTAGTTTGCTATTGAGCTGCTCACAACTGTAACAAGTGAAATGTTTTAATTCCTTCTCTTACGAATGACTCAGAATACGTTATTGGGGACTGAAAGTACCAGTTAGTAAGAAAAGGATGGACTCTCTGGGGAACTAGCTATTCCCCCCCTCCCTCGGTGAGTCTCTGTGCTTCTACTGTGTAAGAAAGGGAATTATACCAGAAATTTTAAACTCTGCAACAGTTTGGCACTCATTCCCCTGCCCAAGGAAGGCTGCAGCCAAAAGAGAGAAAAGGTGCTCCCGCCCCCCCCCCCCCCCGGTCCCACAGCAGACGGACGGCCCCTTGGTTTGGGCAAGCAGTGTCTTTATAGCCTAGCCCGACTTATCTTACCGACTCCTTAAGGGTCTCATCGTCCACATCAAAGTTGGAGGTGTCAGCGGGACTGGCCACCTCTGGCAAGAAGGGTGGAGGGGTGTCGCGAATGTTGTCCCAGTTGATCCCCTCAAAGAAGGGGTGGCTCTTGAAGTCCTGGATGCCCTTCTGGCCCAGCCGCAAGTCTTGGTGGCACAGGAGCTTTCGGATGAGGTCCTTGGCGCTCTCCGAGACGTCAGTGATGTCTGGAGGGAACTGCAGATGGTCCTGGGGGGGGAAGGGCCAAAGAGGAAGCAAAGAGGCTCAGGCGGTGGGGAGAGGGGAAGGCACAACCACCACAGTGGTAGCATTCTTTATTTATTTAT